TTGCAGGGCGTACATAATGTGTGGATAGGTTTATACAAATCTTCGAAAACAGGCACGTGGAAGTAAGTTGTTTATTTTTAAAACAAGTTTAATAAATATATTTAGGGGTCATCCATAATTGAAGTCACGTGTTTTTGACGATTTTTACCCCCCTCCCCTCTTTCACACATCGTCACAAAAAGCCAGACACCCCCTCTAAAATGACGTCACACTTCAGCCTACAACCCCCCCCTCAAAGTTTCTGTTGAATTTTTCTTAAAACATCGATATTTTTCCAAAATCTTGTCTGAACTCTGTCATCATAGTGTATTATGATCAATTCGTATTGCAATTTATTAAAACACTTTTCTAAAACGCAAAATAACTGCAAAAACTCGTTTTCTAACATTGTTTTTCAATAATGCAAAAAAAGTGACGTCACATCATCTGAACCCCCTCCACACCATACCCTCATCACACACCGTCACAAAATTACGTACCCTCTCCCCCCTACGAGTGTGACGTCATTTATAGGCGACCCCATACATACATCTTTGTTTTTAAAAAAAAACATAAACAATGTCGCTAATGTAAGTTCGTTTACCATACGATACCGTGTTAAAACTGGTTGTAAATTATTTAAAAGAAGCATGTCTTCAATAAGCGTGTTTTTTATTTTTTATAGAAGTGCTGTACATTATATTTTATAGAAGGGCTGTACATTAAATTTTATAGAAAGGCTGTACATTATATTTTATAGAAGGGCTGTACATTATATTTTATAGAAGTGCTGTACATTATATTTTATAGAAGGGCTGTAAATTATATTTTATAGAAGGGCTGTACATTATATTTTATAGAAGGTTTGTACATTATATTTTATAGAAGGGCTGTACATTATATTTTATAGAAGGGCTGTACATTATATTTTATAGAAGGGCTGTACATTATATTTTATAGAAGGGCTGTACATTATATTTTATAGAAGGGCTGTACATTATATTTTATAGAAGGGCTGTACATTATATTTTATAGAAGGGCTGTACATTATAGTTTATAGAAGGGATTTACATTATATTTTATAGAAGGGCTGTACATTATATTTTATAGAAGGGCTGTACATTATATTTTATAGAAGGGCTGTACATTATATTTTATAGAAGGGCTGTACATTATATTTTATAGAAAAGCTGTACTTTATATTTTATAGAAGGGCTGTACATTATATTTTATAGAAGGGCTGTACATTATATTTTGTAGAAGGGCTGTACATTATATTTTATAGATGGACTGATGGCTCGGCGGTCAACTTCTTCAGATGGGATTTCGGCCAACCTCAAAGAAGTGGAGAATTTTGTGCATTCGCCTTAAGATTTGGTGAAGTATTTTGCTTATTTGTATAGTAAATATTAACTGTAAGTACGCTATGGTAACTAATGGTCCATGGAAGCAGGTGAAGTAGAGTTTACCTTCGCTGGACTTGGCATGTAAAGGAGCATTGTTGTCGGTACAGCGCCGTGCGATATATTCCTTTCTAAGTGTAGTGGACTAATGAATTTTGTACGGAATTGAAACCAGGATTTAAAGTTTGACAGAGGCGTAGCTATGGGAGTGGGGGGGGGGGGGATGGGGGAGTCCGTCCCTGGCGCAGACCTTAAGCGGGCGCTGAAACGGGTAGGGACAAAATGTAAATAGACTGTTACTTAGCTTTACCGACTGAATTAACTGTTGTCTATGTCAGTGGTGCGACACTAACATAAAAACCGTTAAGGACAATGATTTTTTTTTTGGGGGGGGGGGGGTAAGGAGAGGGGATGCCAATATGAATAAATTTACAACCAGGGGATGGGGGCATTTTAGCCAAAATGAATAAGTATATAAATATAGGGGGGGGGACGCAAAGTTGATAGTTCGCCCCGGGTGCCTGAATGGGTCGACCCTGAAGCTCGATAATTCGGGTTATCGGTTGTCTGTTCTACCATTCAACTAATCCAACAGAACTTGAGGAACTCCTATACGGCTTGACTGCCGCACAGTTGGTGTAAAAAAAAAATTATTTTAAAAAGTATTTTTTCGTTTTTTTAGGTTAAATAATTGTTATAACAAAGTATTATACTTGCAGCTTACTTTAAAGTATTTAAACACAATGAAAGATTGAGTTGATATATAGCCAAACGAAATGTGTATTTAAAATAACTTTTACATGCATTTCAGATGAGTGGCATGATACTAGATGCGACGATAAAAGAAATTTTGTTTGTAAAGTGCAACATACAACTGCCACTCCAAAAAATAACACTAAAAAAGCTTTATTTAATAATCCAACTACAAAACCTACATTTAGGAAAGTTATAAAAAGAAATCCCACTACAAAAGCTACCACTAAGATAATCAACATTACACAACCAACAATAAAAATTACAACTAAGAAAGTTATAATTACAAATCCAAGCCCAAAACCTACCACTAAGAAAGTCATAATTACAAATCCCACAACAAAACCTACCACTAAGAAAGTTATTATTACAAATATCACTACAAAACCTACCACTAAGAAAGTCATAACTAAAAATCCCACAACAAAACCTACCACTAAGAAAGTTATTATTACAAATATCACTACAAAACCTACCACTAAGGAAGTCATAATTACAAATCCCGCAACAAAACCTACCACTAAGAAAAATATAATCACAAATCCAACTACAAAACCTACCACTAAGAAAGTCAGCATCACTCAACCAACTACAAACATTACAACTAAGAAAGTTATAATTACAAATCCCACTACAAAAATTACAACTATGAAAGATTTAATTACAAATGCCACTTCAAAACCTACAACTAAGAAAGCCCACATTACACAGCCCACTGCAGACATTACCACTAAAAAAGTTATAATTAAAAATCCTACTACAAAACTTACTACTAAGAAAGTCAACATCACAAAACCTACAATAAACATAACTACAAAGAAAGTTATAATTACCAATCCCACTACAAAATTTACCACTAAGAAAGTTATTATTACAAATATCACTGCAAACTCTACCAATATGAAAGTCAACATCACACAACCTACTATAAACATAACCACAAAGAAAGTTATAATTACAAATCCCAATACAAAACCTACTACTAAGAACGTTGTTATTACAAACATCACTACAAAACCTACCACTAAGAAAGTTATAATAACAAATCTCACTACAAAACTTACCACTAAGAAAGTTATAAATACAAATATAATTACAAACCCTACGACTAAGAAAGTTATAATTACAAATCCAACTACAAAACCTACCACTAAGAAAGTAAACATCACACAACCTACAATAAACATAACCACGAAGAAAGTTATAATTACCAATCTCAATACAAAACCTACCACTAAAAAGGTTATAATTACAAATCCCACTACAAAACATACTACTAAGAAAGTTGTTATTACAAATACATCTATAAAACCTACCACTAAGAAAATTATAATTTCATATCCCACTACAAAACTAACAACTAAGAAAGTAATAATTACAAATCCCACTACAAAACATACTACTAAGAAATTTGTTATTACAAATCCCTCAACAAGAACTACCACTAAGAAAGTCAACATTGCACAACCTACTATAATATTCACCACAAAGAAAGTTATAATTACAAATCCCACAACAAAACTTACCACTAAGAAAGTTATTATTACAAATATCACTACAACACCTACCACTAAGAAAGTTATAATTACAAATCCCACTACAAATCTTACTGTTAAGAAAGTTATAATTACAAATCCCACTACAAAATCTACTAATATGAAAGTCAACTTCACACAACCAACTATAAACATAACAACGAAAAAAGTTATAATTACTAATTCAACTACAAAACCTAACACTATGAAAAATATAATCACAAATCCCACTACAAAACTTACCACTAAGAAGGTTATAATTACAAATCCCACTACAAAACTTACTACTAAGAAAGTAATAATTACAAATATCACTACACCACCTGACTCGAAGAAAGTTACCATTACAAATACCACTACAAAATTTACCAATATGAAAGTCAATATCACACAACTTATTATAAACATAAACACAAAGAATGTTAAAATTACAAATTCCACTACAAAACAACCTACCACTATTAAAAATATAATCACAAATCTGACAACAAAACCTACATCTAAGAAAGTCAACATCACACAACCTATTATAGTCATAACCACTAAGGACGCTGTAATTACAAATCTTACTACAAAACCTACCACTAAGAAAGTTACAATTACAAATACTACTACTAAACCTACCCATAACATAGTCAACATACCTCAACCAACTACAATCACTACAATTAAGAGAGTTTTAATTACAAATCCCACTTCAAAACCTATGACAAAGAAAGTCAACATTACACAGCCAACTGTAAACATTACCACTGACAAAGTTTTAAGCACAAATCCTAATACAAAACTTACTACTAAGAAAGTTGTTATTACAAATATCACTATAAAACCTACCACTAAGAAAGCTATATTTACAAATCCCTCTACAAAACTTACCACTAAGAAAGTTATAATTACAAACACCACTTCAAACCCTTCCACAATGAAAGTTATAATTACAAATCCCACTACAAAACTTACCACTAAGGAAGTTATTATTTCAAATATCACTACAACACCTAGTACTAGCAAAATTATAATTGCAAATCCCACTGCAAAACTTACAGTAATTACAAATATCACTACAAAATCTACCACTAAGAAAGTTATAATTACAAATCCCACTTTAAAACCTACAACTATGAAAAATATAAACACAAATCCCACTACAAAACCTACACTTAAGATAGTCAACATTACACAACCCACTTTAAACATTACCACTAAGAAATTTATAATTACAAATCCCACTACAAATCTTACTACTAAGAAAGTCAACATCATACAATCTACTATAAACATAACAACTAAGACATTTATCATTACACAACCAACAACAAACATTACCAATATGAAATTTAAAGTTTCTAATCCCACTACCAAACCTTTCACTAAGAAAATCATCATTACACAACCATCTATAAACATAAACACCAATAAAGTTAAAATTACAAATCCCACTACACAACCTACTACTAAGAAAGTCTTCATTACAAATCCCACTTTAAATCCTACCATTAAGAAAGTTAATATTACAAATCCCACTATAAAACCTACCAACAGCATAACACTTCTTATTACAAAACCTACCAATAAGATCACAACCAATCCAAGTACAGCAACTACCACTAAGAACGATATTTATACTCAACCCAACACTATTAATGCTACTAAGCAAGCTTTTATTACCCAACCCAATACAACTGCTAGCAGTAAAAAAGTAATCATTCCCCAACCAAATGCAACTGCTGCAGCTAACAAAATTATCATTACCCAACCCAAAAGAACTGCTAGCACTAAGAAAGTGATCATTCCACAACCCGATACAACTGCTGCAGCTAAGAAAAGTATCATTACCCAACCAAATACAACTGCTAGTACTAAGAAAGTAATTATTCCCCAATCCATCACAACCTCAACCACTAAGAAAACTATTACCCAACCAATAACAACTGCTACGGCTGAAAAATACCTCCCTACACTCGCAAGTACAATAGTAAATAAAAATAATATAGTCACCACATTCTCAAGTCAATCAACTACCACTTCCGCCACTAAGAAAGTAATTAAATTACAATCTAGTCCAGAGGCTACCATTTTGACAGTAAATACCACAACAACCAGTCAACCAAATACCACTAAGACAACACTCCCTACAACATTAAGTATACCAACTACAACTAAGACGAATCAAACTACACCATCAACTATATCAACTACAACTAAAACATATATCCCTACATCAACCAGTCAAGCAACTACCCCTACGACAACTCTAACTACAACAACTAACCAAACAACTACCACCAATACAACTCTAACTACACCAACTAACCAAACAACTACCACCAATACAACTCTAACTACATCAACTAACCAAACAACTACCACCAATACAACTCTAACTACATCAACTAACCAAACAACTACCACCAATACAACTCTAACTACATCAACTAACCAAACAACTACCACCAATACAACTCTAACTACACCAACTAACCAAACAACTACCACCAATACAACTCTAACTACATCAACTAACCAAACAACTACCACCAATACAACTCTAACTACATCAACTAACCAAACAACTACCACCAATACAACTCTAACTACATCAACTAACCAAACAACTACCACCAATACAACTCTAACTACACCAACTAACCAAACAACTACCCCTACAACTCTAACTACACCAACTAACCAAGCAACTACCAGTACGACAACTCTAACTACACCAACTAACCAAACAACTACCTATAAGACAACTTTAACTACACCAACTAGTCCACCATCTACCACTAGAAAAATCATCATAGCTTCACCTAAGCAAGCAAGTACCCCAAAGACAACTCACACTACATCACCAAGTGAAGCAGGTATTTATCTCCCTTTGAAATCATCGTCTATTTACAACCAACATGAAACATACCATATTGTTTCAATCAACTGAAGACGCCAAATATTATATTTACCCGACTTAATGAATAGAAAAAGTAAAAATATCGAATATGTATTTTTATTAAATACTTTGTCAAGTTTTTAAACTAATAAAAATTCAAAACTATGGTGCAATTTTCAATACAAACAAATGTATGTTGGGAAAGAAAATTCAAAAACAAAACAAAACAAAACAACGAACTGTTTCTGATCATTTATAATCTTTATTGGGGCATTGAAATATTACTTTTTTTTAAGGAAACAATTCAACATTGGTTGCTGAAGTTGGTTTACAGGACTCTGGTAAAAGCTTTACTGCGGCGATTGCTATAGGCAGTATCCTGACTGTTATTTTTCTAGGAATTATAGTTTATGTGCGGCATTTTATGAAAGGTGAGATTACACTTTGGAAATTACATTATGAAGGTTTATTTTATACATGTTTATTACTCCTAGTACTGAAGTTAAATATTTTTCTAAACGTAGGCAAATATTTTATATCTCTCTGTAAAAATTAATGTTTAGTATACATAAACATTATAGGGAAATGTTAATAAGTATACGCTGTTGGGAATAAAATAGGCCTGTATATGTGTTTGCATACTTAGTTAAAATACAAAAATTAAGTAAATGTAAAATGTGTTTTATGCGATTTTTCGTTATAATCTTTTACGATTTCAAACTTATCCCATAAAGGACAAGTTATTTAAATAATTGCATTTTTCTATTTGCTAATAATTTTTAAAAATTATTTTTTAGTACGACAAATAAAGCGAATTCTAAGGTAAGTTAGAATTACTTATTGCCTAAGGTTTAAAATTCGTCTCTGTAAACAAGTTTTTACGTAGTTTGAAAACATGCTAGGCGTGGCCAAGTGGTACAGCGCTAGAACTGCGACCAGAAAGTCTCGAATCAAACCAGCTCTGATAATGACACGTAGTGAAGATAAAGAACAGTCAATCTGTTTGATTACAGTTTAATACGTATGTTTCAATACAGCATGACAGTGCGGTCAGCAGTAACACATTCCATAATGTTCTCTAACCTGAGTCAGGTACCAGTTAGGTTTGAGTAGGGAGTCAGGGATATTCAGTCTTCAATATATAAACAAAATATAGAAAAAATTACATTTAACGATTATGGATATTATATATATATATATATATATATATATATATATATATATATATATATATATATATATATATATATATATATATATATATATATATATATATATATATATATATATATATTTGTTATATATATATATATATAACAAATATATATATATATATATATAAATATATATATATATATATATATATATATATATATATATAAACAAATATATATATATATATATATATATATATATATATATATATATATATATATATATATATATATATATAAACAAATATATATATATATATATATATATATATATAAACAAATATATATATATATATATATATATATATATATATATATATATATATATATATATATATATATATATATATATATATATATAAACAAATATATATATATATATTGATATTTTGATATTTTGAGCTATCAACTGTTCATTCTGTTTGGTTTCACTTTCTCAGCGATAAAGATGATGATCCGGGTGATATTGAACTTATTAGCTCAGGTAAGGAATTTGCAAACATGGAATAATCAATTTTTAGCAACATAGGATTACAGGGAACGCCTTCGTCCATATTGGTTACATGGATACAATGCATTTTTTAATTATTTTTTTTACTTCATAGCGGCCGCAAAAATATCAAACATATTTTTTTTAAACTTGATTTTAGCTTGAAAGTAATTAGGTAATGTATAACGAAATAGAACTTGTAAAGAAAATGTACGTTTACCAGTGTACACCCCCCTCCCCCGTAAAAATTAGCACACACACCCCCCTCCCTGGGAAAAAAGTCTGAAGAATCATACAGACTAAAGGTAGTCCCTACGTCTATAACCTTTACAATTTTCGTACTTTGGCCGCTAAACCTCAATAATGGAGATAGTGTTTTTTTTTTTCAGACTTTTTTTCATTGGGGAGGGAGACACTTAAATTATCCAGGGGAGGGTCTGTCAATGGTAAAAGGATTTATTTTCTAAATAAATTATATTTCTTTCGAATGGGGGGGGGGGTAGAGGGTGGTAGACGTTATTCGTCGGGTAGGAGAGGGGCTTAACAAACAGTACAGGCGATGTTAAACAGGTTTGAAATTAAATATTACTTGGGTAAAAAAATGGTGTGTCAAATGCGTTTATATAATATGTGGGTTTTGCTAGCAATTACACTTTAACTTTCAATAAAACACCATAAATAAAACATCATGAATTTTTTTTAATCATTGATTGTAAAATTAATTTCTATAAAAGATTTTTTTTTTTTTTTTTTTTTTTTTTTTTTTTTTTTGCAAATAACTAATTTCTTTTATTACAGAAGGTTTAAAGATGCGACTTTTGCCTTGAGATCATCGAATAAAAGAACAAGTCGGGACAGTAGATGTTTTACACAGTTGTAACATGGAATAATTAATCATTGAAATGAATCGTTTAACCAGGAAAGATTCGTTAGCGTATGTTTATAAACATACATTTTATAAGTTAACGGATACAATATTTAGCTAGCAAAGATGCAAAAAAAAACGTGACGGCTCTAGTTAACATTATACACTTACAAGGCTAAGTACGTTTCTCAAAATGCTACTAAATAGTACATTTATATATGCATACACGTCGGATTCAAATGTAATATAAATGACCTTAATAATTAGTTTTCTACTTAGTTGGACGTTGTAAATTATATTTTCCTCATTTCTGGGTCAACTCATTACTAATGGTTTTTTTTTTTTTTTTTTTTCTTTGTTTCATCAAGATAAAATAATACTGTCTTGAGCTGGAATATACCACAAAATATTCTCTATAAATTATTGTACATTGTAATGTGTATTGTATAAAGTGTTTAAACGGTAATTGTAGGTTGAAGTATTAAAGTGTAACTTAAACGCACGTAAAGAGCACAAACATCTGCAAAAGATAAAATAGTTCTAAATTGCTATGTGTAATTTTGTAAATTAACACATCATTAAATGTACTTAATCCATCTTTTCAAAAATATTTTTTGATACAGGTAGTTGTGTCCCTTGGTTCGTTTCAGAAATTATTAATGCATTTGATTTAAACTGTCTGGCATGATACACGCATTGCAAATTTTTTTTAATAGATTGCTTGCAAAAAAGAAAATATGTTCTTAACTAAGCGGATATGAAATGGCACAGACAACACTTGTTTTATAGATGAGGTCTCTAATATTTAAGTAAGGGTAATTTTCGAAATATTTCAAATTAACCTACTTAAATGCGATAAGGATATACTGTTATAACAAAGCGCGAGTAGATTAAAGCTGATTTCCAAACAAAGTTTAAAAAAATAATTCCCTGTGAAAGTTTGTTCATGTATCTAATGTCATAGATAGCAGAAAAAAGAAATGCGTTTATCCTTGGTACTAAATGTTTCGTCTACAGTTTTGTCCCTTGGCTTAGGACTGCATGGCAAGTTTAGCTCATACATAAATCTAAAGCCGCAATAACACATTGACAGCAACGCGATAGACATTTATGTCATGAACCCATGTCATGAGCCAAATTAACATCATAGTATGAAGCGAATTGACATCTACGTCATAAACCACATTGACATCCTTTTCACAAATGTCATTAGCATCAATGTCAAGAAGCCCATTAATATCCATGTCATAAACACCATTGACATCCATAGAAGAAGCCCCATTGACACCTATGTCATGAACCCCATTGACATCCATGTCATAAGCCACATTGACATCATGTCACGAACGTCATTAGCATCCATGTCACGAACTCCATGATTTCCATGTCGTGAACTTCATTAACAACCAAATTATTAAACAAACGGATATCCATATCATGAACTATTTGACTTACATTTGAAGAGTCATGTACCTCAATTGAACCCCACTGGCACCCATGCTATATGCTAAAAAACCCTTTAGCTCATCAAAGCGCATTATTTTTAAACCTTCGGTATTGTATGTATTTGTACATTAAATGTTAAGCTACATAAAAACTAAAACAGCTATAATAGATATTTTTTTTAACCTTTACTTAGAAGTTTACATAAATTCAGTGTTTATTCGCTAAAGAATTTTATAAATCCAATGTATATTTTATAGAAACATAATTTTGATTTTAAATTTTCATTGATGAAAAAAAAATTACATTGAGAAAGTTTGGCTCAAAAAAACGCGTTTTCTGGTAACAGAGGAGAGATTAATCGCAGAAATTATTACTGCTAGGGGAGTGGGGGGGGGGGGGGGGGGGGTTCTTGAAATGTTCAGGTTGTTAACTACAGTTGTAAAAATGTGTATTATATATAATTTTGTTTTTACCTACAGCTTAAAACCTACGTGCACTAGGTTTGGTAATGGTGGGGCGGTGGGGGGGGGGGGGGGTACATTTCCTGCCCTTCCATAATTTGAGAAATGCCAGACTAATAAAAACTAGAAATAATACATTGGTAGAGAATCAACCGAGACTAGGATGTACAATACCCATGCTGATAAGTAGGTTGTAACACTGTTCTAGACTGGGTTGGAAACAGTACAGGAGTTGTGTGGTTCTTCATGGCACCGAACAGCTTCCCTGCTGGCGGCAGCACTGGTATCCCTAGCAGACACACCCCCGCTGGTCTCAAGGTCAGGGTCATCGTACACGTGACGGTCCGGTCTTCGGGCAGTCTTGGGAGGCAGCGAAGGCGGATTGTCCTGTACGTCATCAGCGGGGTGGTCGTCTGCTAACGTGTAATAGCCGTCTTGTCTGCGGATGATTAGTTGAGGGCGGTTGTTCTCAAGGTTATCGTAGTTATCAATCAAATGGTAACGGTCTTCTTGATCAGAGGTCAGCGTAGCTTCGTAGTCCGGGCTTGGTGCTGCTTCACTGTCGAGTAGAACATAATTCACAACGTCATGTGTTTAAGACTTTGTATTGGAATAATAAAAAAATAAAATATCGTTGTTTGTGTTTGTGGTTACTTGTAATGTATTTTTAGGATGATAACATGATAACAAATAACAGATTAAAATCTAATTTACCTCTCTGCATGTGCTCGCTTGACTAAAGAGACAAATTAAAAAAAAATAAACGAATAAAATGTAAACCGAATACATACAAAAATGAATGTAGATATATGGTATTGTATGTTACATTTGTAGTAATGAACCTATTAAATTAATAAAAATGAAAAACAAAACGTTTTACACAATATAATGTAAATGTATGTATTTAACATTCTAACTTTTCTAATTGCCACCAACACACATGCTTAAAAATGGCTGACTAATTAAATCAATTTGTGTACAGATAGTATTTCAGGTCAAATTTATTAAACAATGTGTGAATGACATAACAATTAATCACTATTCTTTCTTATATTTCCAGAGTACTGTTTGCTGTAAGTATGTATGTATGTATATATATATATATATATATATATATATATATATATATATATATATATAGTAATAAAGTATTTATCATTTATTTAATATAACATATCGCAACTTACTTTTAATGACAACACACATAATAACAGCAATGCCAATGATAGCTGACACTACACCTGTCATGACCGTATATGGCATCTCTATCTGTGATTCGTTATTTGGTCTCGTATTGATATCAACTTCTGGAATTTTCGGAGGCCACGGTGCTGAAAAAAATGTGAAGCATATTTTGAGCTTAAAATTATGATAGTTTTGATTATTTTTTCGGGAGGGGGGTGGGGTGTTTAGGATAAGTTTAAAGTATCGTTTTTAAAGATATTGGGCCATCTCAAAATGTGTTCTTGATTTATAATTGGTTAATAAAAATAAAAGGACATTTGCAAACTTCGAAACAATCGTAATGTTTGCTTATGTGGC